AGACACAAGTTTTACTTGCCTTCCTGTAGGAAACCACCATCACTGGCATTGTCTGGCAAAACATTTGTCAAATGGTTGCTATGGGCCAGCGACTGCTAAATGCCTCCTGTTCTTCCAGTTCTTTCCAGTTTAATGTTCCATAAATATGTGGGTCTAATCTCAGGGACTGGGGCTAGGCTAGTTCATAAGGAGGACAATTCAAGGTCAGAGGAATGGCAAAGTGGTTTGACAACAAGGGCAATTGAAACAGCCGGGTTGTTAGGACAGGCTTCATCAAGCATCAGGTGTCTATGACCACATCCCAGTCAGTCTTGTCCTCCACCTCTCAACCCATCTTTCACCATAGACAGACCCCTTACCTTGTTCTCTAGAACTAAAGCTGGCATGAAGAAGGGGGTGGGTTGATGAGCTCTTTCGTAGCACTCTGTACCTCAATGTCAAGTGAACCTTGCTTTTGGTCTAGGTCTAAACTTGATCCTTGCCAATGTCTCGGCTTGGCACTGAATCACGAGCCACTCACAGCTTTGTAGATTCAAACAGCAATTCTTTATTCCCGAACTCACACTGGCCTCTACAAACACGTTCTGGGGAAATCCAAGTTCTCCCAGCCCAATTCGCCTACTCCACGAGGCTTTTTTCCAAATTCCATTTGAATCTCACGAGAACACAGCGGGGAACTCAGGCAGCAGGCACGCCCTACTCCCAGCAGGAATAACCTTCAACCTGCAACTTCCCTAAACCCAGATCATCTTAAACCCGAACGCCCTAAACCCAGATTGTCTTAAACTCGATACTTCCTAAAACCTGCAGGATACACCCTAATCCTGGATCCACCCTGGTCCTTGAGCAGGGTCACCTTTCTCAAAGACACATGCAATGTCCAAGGCAAGTTTATTTAACATGGGGTACGCTGGCAAGGAAATATCGATGTGTCATTCCTACTTGGCAATGGCCCTCAGCAGATCCTGGTTTTTACAGTGGATCTCCCAGGAGCCAAACATGATTTTTAAATCCTAAATCTGACTCCTGGGCCCATCACATGTTACTTTCCTGGTAAAATGCTCAGCCCATCAGATCCTGTGAAGTGGTGGCCTGATTGGCTCTCCTGTCCCCTGCCCTTACATCCTGGCCTAAGCACCGGAACCTGAGTGTGTGGTGGACCTCCCTAGCACAGGACTCTTCCTTCTGCCATCTGAAACTCATCTCTTTGGTGCTTTCTCCCCATTGTGAACAGATCCAGGTAACTAGCTAAGTCCTGAAATATGGCTGGTCACACCAGCAGGAAAGAAATGTGTGGCCAAGACACGTGCTGTCAGTTACCTGTGCACATCAGTTGACATCATAGGCACAGTGGCAGAGGTCCATGGTCCAGAACACTTGTTTGAGAGCTGGGAAAGGAGCTTAGGTCACTGGTGACCTCTTGGGTCTTTCTGTGCATACCCTATAGCCTGGGTACTGGCCAGGTAAGAGTGTCAGCTGACCACCCATGTTACTGGTGGTATTTTTCTTCTCCATCTGTCCAGTGTGCTCCACGTATGCTATTGTAGGACAAGTGGGAGTGGCACCCTGGAACCAGAGAGAGCTACCAGCTGGGAAGCAACTTCAAAGAGCTTCCATCCTAAAATTTGCCTTAAGATGAATAATACTATCCTGACAGGGGATAGAAATTAGAAAACCTGCCCTACATTCTCCTGGGATGCCTGAATATTGATGAGGATCCCTAAAGTCTTCCTTCTTGTCCTAACCATTAGATATTTTAGCACCATTGTCACAGAACACTGAACTATGATTACTTAAACAGAGGTAGAGGCAAGTAAAGGGAGGAGAAAGGAACTCAGCACTTGGAATGGAAACCTGGGAAGAGGTCCCAGGTCTGACAGTCTCAAGCTGTGATCATGAGCGAGCCCTTCTCCAGGCCTCACGGCTCACCTGGACATCCTTAAGTGAGATGGATTTCCATACTTTCTAAGGTACTTTCCAGTTTTAACATTTGATGAGTCTGTTTTCCTCCACTACTGAAATAGGAGAAACCACTTTCATTTTTACGCAAGCCACTCTGCGATGTTATTAAGAGCAGGAAAGTATCTATTAATACACCTACTCAAGATGATATTTCTCTCCACACCATCCTGGCATTTGCATGGTGATAACTGTCTAGATGGCTAATACAAAGTGCACAGGGAATAAACCTTACATTGTTCTTCTTTTGTGGTTGAGCAGAGTTCATATGCGTAGTAGACTTTCGATAATATACTCCATGAACAGATTTGGATGCAAATACCCTATCTTTTCCCACCTCACTCACCATGGAACAAAGAATACCCTGTAGAAGCTTCAGAGGTTAGAAATACTTCTTGTAGAAGAAAAAAAAAATCTCTGTGCTCAACTAATTGACCCAGGGTCTACATGGGGCCTGTGCCTAGCTACTAAGTGAACAGGAATGTGTTTGAATGGAAGATACTTGGGTTATGAGATGGTTTCCACCACTTGGGAAGTTTATAGAATACCCAAGGGGCATGTACAGCAAGCCTCAGAAAGCCATTCAAAGGAGCCAGCTAACCTGACAGCTTTATAATGTTCTCAGATTCAGAACTAAGTAGGCAATTAAAGCTTTTTCCATGTGAAATGCAGCATTGAATTAAATCACCTCTGAGCTCCTTTTTGGCTTTAACTTTCTTCAGTCATGGTAAGCTTCAAGACCCTAAGAGATAATTACTGTGTACACCTAAGAGAAAGAGATGGAGAGAGGTGATAGGAGGAGAAACTCATATCCTGAGTTATTTTAATGTTTTCTGCTTCTTCACTTGCAAATTGATTCTGGTCATCTTCAAAGTATAGATTGAAAAGAAAAGCTTAACAGAAGAGCTTCAAGTGATGTTGAACATCTGAATTGAGTCTTTTCAGCATGATGTTAAGTACATGATGGAGAAGTCCTATTTTAAAATGTGTTTATATGAAACTTCACCTTATTCCAGAAGAGATTTAGGTGATATAAACTGAAAGTAAAAATCAAAAAAGCAAGAAAAGCAAAGTTGGGACAAACTCCAACAAAGATGTCATGTAACAGATCAGTGATATTATGGCGAGTTCCCCGTCCCGAAGCCACATATTCAAGTATAGCATGAAATATGCAGCCTAGCTATAGGATTTCTCTCTCCTTCAGTTTGCTCAACAATTTCTCAAAGTATTCTGTCACTGGAGCATGTCCCTTGTGAGCATCACACATCATTCTGAGGATGATTAACAGATTTTTCCATCTTATAAGGGGATTGATAGAAAATTGAAAGGATTCACTAATTCTCCCAAATGAAATAGTTTGGGCAGAGTTCATAATTAGGACCTTTAAACAAAAAAAATGGGCTTTTGAAAATTATATATCATTTTTCCTGTATGACTTTAAAAATTTAAATAAGCATCTATCTTTGAGTGCCTTAAAGGTACTTCTTCCTGAAAAGAGCATTAATTAGCACAAATTCTATCCCCATAATTTTGTTTTTATGAAATTTTAGTTTTCATATCCTGAGTTATTTTTTTTTAAAGAAAGAGTGAGAGAGGGGAGAGAGAGAGAGAGAGAGAGAGAGAGAGAGAGAGAGAGA